TTCGCAAGGATATTTCAGGCTCGTGATTTGGCAGCATGCTTACTCGAAGATGACGGCCCTTCGCGTATTATATCAGTGCAAATGCAACTAGTAACAATGCAGTGGTTAGCAACCAATCAACATGCCTTCAATCCAGACCTCATCTCTCCGAACGTTCTCGAAAAACTCATTAAGCAGCATGTTCGTCGGGTTCGTCTTTTTACAGCTCATCCAGGACATTTCTCGTAAATCCATGAATTTCAGTCTATTTCTAACAGATGGTAATCGCTTCGAAAAATACGTAGCATTCTGATGAGCCGCTTTCGAATTTACCACATCACTTCCACTTGCACATCAGAATCCGGAGAACTCTCCGTTACTTTACAGGTTGAATTCTCCCATTTACCGGATATGAACGACCCGAAAACAGTGATCCCGCGTACAGCGAAACTTTATACAAAACAGGAACCTTCCGAACGATTTATATTGATTCTGGAAGGAAGAGCAATGGTCACCATCGGCCAGGTGTGCATGCTTCTCAATGACAAAAGAATTTTTGCCGATGGATTTGCGCTTTTGGCTTTTCCACTGCTGCCCAGCATAACCTGAGGACTGCACTGTGTAGCTCCAAGCATCGCTACATCCAGAGCGCCCGGCCACCTTAAACTCCTCTGCATTTTATACGAATGATAATCACTGTGTGGATGCGCAGGAGGATCAATAATACGCGAACTGATAGGCAATAGAAACGGCAGAGAGAATGTAACATATTATGGATCCTTCTCTGAAAAATGCAAATCCTACCCGTAGGTTGATCACCGGATGGTATGCTTTCAAGCCATCCATAGGGTTGCTGTTAATTAGTGTCGATGACAAAAGTGCGTTTTAACGAAGCGATAGCTGACCAGATTCTCCATCGAAGTATGATGGACTAATGCTCTCCGCAGTTCGAATCTTTCTGGAAGAGTATTTGTGCTGCATTGTTATTTTCAAAGAATTTATGCTTTCGATGGTGGGGCTGCTTCAAAATTTTCTACTTTTTGCTGAGTTACTTCAAAAAAATTTTTAGAAATGCGATTTGCAGTCGAACCGAACCAAGAACAACTCGTTGATGTGCAAAACTAAATTCCATTAATAATTAGATTTAATTTCAAGAATTCATTAGTTATTACTACTGTTATTGTTATTAGTGCGCGTAAGCTACTTTTAACAGATCGGACCTTCCTTAATTTAGGAAAACCATCTAACGGGGATTAGATCTGTGAGTCTTAGCCACTTAATAAGTTCGAGTTGCACTGACTCTTGGTAGCCACTGAGTATTTTAAAAGGATATTGAAGGATTGGTGCTGCATTTTGCTGCAGTAGCAGTTCTTGCGGGTGGAAGGTTTCTAGAGAAGGGAAATTTACTAGTAATTGTGTGGATTTCAGAACGAAATGACTTTCGAAGCCGGTCCTTGGCACTGCTTCGGTGGCGAACTTCTCGACCAGCTGGTTACAGTGGCACAGCAACAGTACGGTGTCGCTACTGCTCAAACGCAGCAACAACAAGGCTTGTTTTTTATAAGATTTTTTTTTCATGTATCCAGTGATCTTTGAACGCGGCATAGCTTAGTTGATTAGCTACGTTCACTTAGTCTTGATAAGGGCCAAAAATGTTAATTTGCCCGGGTATACTGAAGATAAAATCTGCTTGGCATTTAATATTATCCTTGTTGTGGGTGCCCTGGAAAAACTAACGGGAACATAAAAATAGCATGCTACATGTAATAGAAGGAGTGGCATAAGCGCAGATAAAACTGCTTCAGTTGATACTGAGAATAGAGGCCGGTAGTGTAGTGGATAACACGTCACGATTCGAAGAATGTGGAAATAGTGAAAATGAAAGGTTCGACTCCCTCCCGATTTATGTTATTCGCAAAACGAACTCTACTCACGAAATCCCTAACTAGATATGTACATATTATGTGTACTCGCATTCTGGTGCAGTAGAACCCTAGGAAATGTTGTAGGGCAACATTTTTGGATGGGGGATTTGTGCAGGCATTGTGTGTTCATAGCTTTTTTATATGTCAAAAAGACACCAAAAATCGCAGAGATGCTCAGTTTTCATTGACTGACATATTCAATAAAAAATCCTTTTTTGTTGAAGGTGGTGGTGGAGGTAGTGGTGGTGGTGGTGGTGGAGCGCAGGTAACGTTTTCGCGTAATTCATTGAGCACGTCGGGTGTGTCGCCATCAGAAGCAGTGAAAAAGAGCACGATTACTTTTACACCGGACTTCTCGGCCGTTGTGCGGGACGATTGTACATACCTGGAAATAACCGCTCAAACCTACCTGCTGGCGTACAAATCGACGCTAATATCGAAAGGAAGCAGGTCTCGTGAAGAAATTCCACATTCTAATACTATTGCTAATTTACGTTCCTTAAAACATGAGCTTGAGCAACAACAACA